GAAATTAAGGACCAACAATAATGCGTCGCTTTTACTAGGCGATGAGATTGTAATTGAGCAATTTCTTGAAGGGCAAGAATTGAGCGTCTTGGCCTTTTCAGATGGATATACAATCGTACCTCTTCCTCCCGCCCAGGATCATAAGCGCATTTTCGATGGGGATCAAGTATGTATTTATGAAGGTTCTTTCTTAATTCATTTATTGATTAATTCCTATCCCAGGGACCAAATACTGGTGGCATGGGTTGTTACTGCCCGACCCCAATTGCTACGCCAGAACTAATTTCTCAAATAAAAAGCACAATTCTCCAGCCAACAATTGATGGCATGCGTCGTGATGGTTAGTAATCTCAGTAATCTGACATTTATATCACATAATGTATTACTATATACATATGTATCTATATACATTTAAGGATTTCCTTTTGTCGGAATGCTTTTCACTGGACTTATGATAACCAATTCTGGTCCGATGGTGCTGGAATACAATGTGCGCTTTGGAGACCCGGAAGCAGAAGTTACATTACCACTCTTAAGTGATGATACGGATTTAGCGGAGATTATGCTGGTATTTACCAAATGAATGCTAGTGCTAGTTTGATGATACATACATCCTCACATATCAATTTATTAAAGGCATGTGTGGATAGAAGACTGGATTCTGTTCAGATTAAAACAAAACCAGGTTATGCAGCTGTTGTCGTTATAGCTTCCGACGGGTACCCTAGAAGCTATCTGAAAGGAAAAGAGATTTCAATTGCAGCGGTCCCATCTGGTAAATTAAGTAAAGGAATTAAAAATCAGAAATTATAATGATACATAATTTTCCATTTTAGATACAATTATCTTTCACGCGGGTACCATTATAAAAGGTGGTAAACTTGTTACATCGGGTGGTCGCGTGTTTGCTGTATCTGGAATAGCAAATACACTGAGAGAAGCTGTCGATAAAGCATATGATGGTGTTAAAGTTATAGATTTCGAAAAAATGGTTTACCGAAAAGATATTGCCCACCGGTAACTGCATACCAACCTTCCATGATTCATTTATTTAGGTGCAAGCCAAAATTATAGACATAATTTTATGTGTGTTAATTTTATATTTATTAAGTGCTTTTGCATATTTAGCCCGTCAACATTCAGACAGTGATACGATGACTTATGCATCCGCGGGAGTTTCGATTGATTCCGGCAATCTTCTAGTTCAAAAGATAAAACACTTGGCGAAAAATACTCGACGCGCTGGGTCTAATTGTGAAATAGGAGGATTTGGTGGTCTTTTTGATCTAAAAGAGGCTGGGTTTGAAGATCCAATTTTGATATCAACTACTGATGGTGTAGGAACCAAGTTGAAAATCGCTCAGGCTGTAAACATTCATGACACCATTGGTTTGTACACCTTACATTTTTCACTTTAAGAAAAGTACAAAATATCTGATTGATTATGTTTTAGGTGTCGACCTTGTCGCAATGAACGTCAATGATCTTGTTGTGCAAGGTGCCGAGCCTCTATTTTTTCTCGATTATTACGCGTGTGGTAAGTTAAACGTTGATGTCGCTATAAAGGTGGTCGAAGGTATAGCAAATGGATGCATCGAATCTAACTGTGGATTGATTGGTGGTGAAACGTCGGAAATGCCTGGAGTTTATAGTGAAGGTAACAATAAATATTTTATTTATTGGTTCATCAAAAAATCTTATTTCCTAATCTCTTCAATAATTTTTTCAGGCGAATACGATTTGGCAGGGTTTGCGGTGGGTGCAGTGGAACGTGGAAAAGTTCTTCCACGTATTTCTGATATAAATGTTGGGGATGTTCTCATTGGGATAGCTTCATCCGGACTTCATTCCAATGGCTTTTCGTTAGTTCGTAAAGTCATTGCTAAATTGAGTATCGGATATGAATCTTTATGTCCGTGGAACTCAAACATCACTCTTGGAGAGAGTCTTCTCACACCAACAAAGATTTATGTCAAACAATTAATGCCAGTTGTTAAGAAAGGACTCATCAAGGCAATGGCGCATATTACCGGTGGAGGTTTCGTGGATAACATGCCGAGAGTTTTACCCGAACATCTGGGTGTTATCATAGATCCAAAATTGTGGGAGATGCCTCAAGTGTTTAAATGGTTGGCAGAGAATGGAAATATACCACTCGGTAAGTATCCTGATTTTTTCCATTTCCTTAACTTAATCGTACCAGAATTTCTTATCACTAATGTTGCTGTCCCCCTAATACAGAGGAACTATTCCGAACCTTTAACTGTGGTATAGGGATGGTACTGATCGTATCATTAGAAAATGAAAACAACGTCATGAATTTATTGAGAAAGTATGATGATGTCTATAAAATTGGCCGAGTGGTAACAAAGGAATCAAACAATGGAAGTCAAGTTATCATCGATGGAATTACCGGGATATGTTAGTATGCAAATGAAAATAGTAAAATTACAGATTTTCTATTAGTTTTTAAATAAAGATTTTTTGCGTGGAATTTAATTAAATTTTTATGAATTGAAAATTGAAAGTTAAAATAAATTAAATGATTTTTTAATGTCACCATCAACTATCCTGTTTATATTCCAAATTTATTATTAGACGTCAAGATCCCCATTATGAAACAAGTGAATATAGTGACCAACTTTTCATAGCCCAGCAAATTATCCCTTCGCACGGCCATACTCGATATCACCCAATCGCTTCCCATAGGATTACAACGCATTCCGTTTGTTCCATTGGACGCGTTATTATTAGGACCCATTGTTCCATAACTTGAATATAGTAATGTGTTGTTTGGTGGGCACACGAAAGATAAAGTTGCTGGACAGGATTGTGATGTATTATAACACAAATCGATGCAAGGCGGTACTTCGATATAAGCACCAGGAACCATTTCACTATCGATGTCGGAAACCCGACTTTTATTGACATCCCTCGTAATTCCCGTTGAATCTACATCACCGCATCGCGGAATCGTTACGGCGCAGACCCAATTTTTGTATGAGACAAGGCAATCATTAATATCTCGAACTAACGAGTAACGAGATGTGTTAGATATTTGAGAAACTGATAAAGTGAAGTTTTGGTATTGACTTGATGCGAGATTGTCATAAAAGTCAACGATTTTTGGCATGGGTAGCCCTGGGTTTGCGGGCACCGAGTATGCCACTCTATCGCAAAATGAAAGGCCAGAAATCAGTCGACAGTTGTTTTCTGTATCAAAATTGATACATTTATTACAATTGAAAATTAATATAGGTAAATAAGAAACAGATGATTACTATCAAAGAAAAATCTGTGACTTACGAGATTTTGTTTTTAAAAATGTTGGACTGGCTGTGGATTGATCATTATTTACATTTAATTGGTTGTATACGACAAAAGCAGTATATATTGTGCCACTAGAGAGATGACTTATTGATACAGCGATCCTTGTTCCGTAGTTTGGATAAACGAGTCCCCGCGTAGTCAAATTGTAAGAAATGGAAACTCCGGATAATTGATTGTATTGAAGTGCACACAGAGAATTATATAAACCCCGCAAATCATTTGACTTCGCTATGTAGGTTGATACCGATGATGAATCAATATCTCCATCTATCCTGAGCAATGCAGTAGAATTATCTGTGTCCTCAAGTACTACGTTAGGTACTAATGACGGAATATGGTGCATGTCTCCTGTTGGAAAGACCGGTAAGATTAAGTAATCATGTCTAAATGTTGAGAGCTAGATCATAATTTATTAGAAATAGTTATCTCTTGCCTTTTGTAGAAGCTCCGATCTGAAAGCTATAGTTTCCAATAAGCCAGGTTTGATCCGGAGTGAATATTCCGATGTAAACAATATCGCTTACGGACATTGTAAAACTTACATATCCTTGATTTAAATCATATGAATTTGTATAGTTGTTTGGACCGGGTTGTGGATTTGACGGGTCTTCGGAAACATAAACTTTTAATGGTTTTGCAAACGCGTTGGAAGATGTGTTGGACTCAATAGGTGATTGGCACGTTGTTACGGTAAAATGTACCGTGACAGGATTGTTAATTGATGGAATTTTGGCAATAGGCGAACTACTAGTACTAATAGTACTTGATCTAATGGTTGAAGTTTTCACTGGCTTTGTTGTTGTTACTGCCCTGCGAATGATTTCAGAGAGCCCACCAGTTCTATCGAATGCGAAAGAAATAAAAGAAGCATTATACATGAAATGCACATTTGAAGAACTTTCTGAGCTAAGTGTTCCATTCTTTATTTGCGAATCTATCAGTTGAATTGTCACATTCTGTTGGGTTTCAACTCCTATTATTCCGACGATACATATTATCATGAAAGTGAAGAACAACGCATTATCATTACGCTGATACTTTCGCATTCCAATTTTTTAATACTATAATTTGTCTTTATCTACTAAAAGGAAAAAAAAAAATTTAGTAATAACGAAAGCGGAGCGGAAGAGATTGTATAATTGATAGTATGAGCAAGCCGGTATTTATTGCAGTTTCTAAATTCGGAATGCGGTGAAACATTGGATAAGCCATCTCAACTTTTGATTTGGCGAGAGGTTTTGTCAAGTTATTTAAAACAAGCTCGGAGTCAGGTATTTCATATCATTGTTCCCTTGATTGATGAAAACCCGATCGTCCTGGCTGAATGCAGAATACAACCCGGTTCTTATTTCAATATCATGTTCAGTAATTTTAAAATAATAATTTGGTATTATTACATATTTAGCAAATGAAATTACGTGAGAAAAAATGCTTACCCCTAAAATTAAGGAAAATTGTGGAAGTAAAGTTTTGAAACGTTCTTGCTTTCCTTTAAATATAAACACAATTACAAAGAACTAGTACATTTTTGGTAAATTAAATTTTCAACAATTTCAATCTCATTTAAGAATTATCTTTGAAAAATTTCAATATTTGTAATTGTTATTACTATTTAATTAAACTATAACTTATACAGCATGTTACTTAAAAAATATAAGAAGTTTATTGAGCTAGTTAGAATTAAACAAAATAAAATTTCAATTAGATATTCTAAGTTAGATTTAAAAGATAATATTTTGTCTCTCTAAGATTGATACTAGAACTTTTATCTATCTTTTTTTTTTTTTTAATCCACAATAAAACTTTTATCTATTAGGATTATGGTTTATAATTTATTATTATAGATTATTTTAAAAAATAATGAATTACTAAATTAATATATTGAAAAAGAAAATAAAAAGAAAAATAAAATAATAATAATAATCTCTTTTCAAAAAGAATCTATCTGATTAAAATATTTTTAACTTTAAATTATTTAAAAAACTTATCTATTGATTACTAGAATTATATACCATCTAATAAACTTATTATTTTGAGTTTTTAAGATAAAAAATTTTATTTTATATTTTTATTTATAAAATTTAAACTTATAACCTAATTATGTCGCAGAATTGACGTCATTAAATTGAACAAATAAATAAATACGTGCGCACATATTTATTGTCGTCGTATAATAATAGTATTAATAATATTTAATTTTACTTAATTAGAATAAAAATTTGAGAATTTCAATTTTCTTTTTAAAAAAATTTTTTTATTATCTAAAAAATTTAATAAAAAATAAAAATATTATATTATATATTCTTTATTTGTCTTTTGATATTATTGTTTTTCTTAGAAATTGGATTAATTAAAAGGTAATATATTAGTTTAAAAAAAATTATTTAATATATATACTATTACTTATATAATTTTTTTTTTATTTTTTATTTTAAAGTTCAACTGATAGGAGAAAATTTTTATTAGTATTCAGTAGAGTTGGATTACATAAGCAATTCATATAACCTTTTTAAGACTACCTATTCTAATTAAATCCATCAATTTTATCACGTAGTGATATTATTTTTGCCAGTTGTCCTACTCTGCTCAGAACTTTAGCAATCCAAAGATCTGCTATGGACTTCTATTTTTATTGTTAATCTTCAGGGGCTTGTAATTTGTATGTTCCTTTTAGTAGGTTTGTGTTCTGCTTGATGATCATAGGTACCATGAATGATCCCTACCATGTTTGGGTTCTTCGTAGGCTTAGTTGAAATTTAGATAACACAATCCTCCGGTCATATTCTTGATATCCAGGTGATTCAATAATATTATATTATTGAGTAGCATATAGCTTTCCATAGCCTCATTTTTAACCACTCTTATAAGTTAACCTTGCAGAGGTATTCCTTGATTACTTTATAGTGGATTACTCCTCCCATTGGATTGGTTACCTTGGTAATTGTTTCTGAATTTTTTCTTCCAGGATCTATCCCTGCAGATTTCCCAATATGGCACTAACACTAATCACCAGCCTCTGCAATAGCTGTTCTCTTTGGTAGCTGTTAGTTTCACAATTCATTGAGATCTCCTATTAATTGTATTATGGCCTATTACGTTTTTAACAGGTGCAAATGACTAAAGTCTCTCTTATCTCTCATAGGGTGTAGTTTTGACAAAAGATGGATGTCCTTTCTATTTCCATTAAAAGGCTTGAACTGATCAGCATTTTTCCTGGCTTATCTTGGATTCTTACATATTTCAGGTGGCAGGTTTATCGAAGAATTCCTTAGCACTAAAACCAGCCAAGGCTTGAGTGACCTGAGTTTTATACCATGATTAGATGGTAGAAATCTATAGGTTATTTATGAGTACAAGGATGTATATAATAATGAGCATACATCTTGTACAATATATCTTATATGTTGTGGAAATTGTTTCTAGGTGGAATTGAACCAGTAACTCGCAGATGGTGACCTAGGAGTGCACCCACTACATTATTGATCTACAGGTCTATTACTTATATAATATTTATTAAAAAATAAACAATTTATTATATTAATAATATAAATAAATTAATAATAATTAATTATTATATAATTTGATAATAAATATTATAAAAATCAATTACTACAGTAATAATTTATAAATAATGAAGTTAGTAGTTGAAAAAAATTTTATATAAACTACTAATAAAGTAATAGATTACTCCTAAAGTTATATTTAAAGTTAAATCAAAAAAAAAAAAAACTTTTTCCACTGATTCTCTGACCATATACAAAAAAGATATTCACAAGAAGTTTTTATACTTCTAGGCTAATAAAGTCTTACCGCTTTTTCTAAAACAACTTGAAGAAACTTCAAGAGTCATCAACTATCTGCTTTCTTGTTTACTATTTTCCTTACACAAAAACTCAACCTCTAATAATCATAAAGATCAAGAAACATTTTTCCTATCAATGACAAGAAAGTTCTGAAAGAAAAAAGAACTAATGTGCCATCATCTTACACTGTAGAGAAACATCATAGAAGTATCTATGTGATTAAAGACAACTTTCCCACTCTTTTATCACTTGTTGCCTTCTCATAGTGCTTGTTTTTGATTTTTTTTGTGAAATTTTGCCTACCTCAGTTTGACTCTAAATATGAGTAGCACAAAGTTTCTCATATTGTGATTGGAAAGATAGAACTCATATTAGTAAAAGAAGTAAACAAGTTTCTATTGAATACTTTACATGTTCAAATGCATTTCCTTAGCTTCATAAGAACCTGGGGTCCATTATAAATCATTGTGCCTTGTATAGATGGATAAGAAATACTGCCAACTCTTACATTTTTGGCTAAGCAAAAGAGAAAGAACATACCCTTTTTTCTTTTCTATCAAGAAAGAAGAAAGAAGACTAGGCTCAAAGGAATATAAAATAATGACAATGCCTTAAAAGTGTCATGCCTATTCTTTATTAGCATGAATATTGAGAGATCAAAAAGATCTTAGGATTATCTATACCTAATCAATAATATCAGCATACAGTTGAACGATCTCAGGTGGCTAAAAAAATTGTCACAATGGAACATTAAACAATGGTTTAATCTTTACAGATGGTAGTACTTTGAAAAAACAGTTTAATACTTGTCAAGCTAACAAAAGTATATATTAAAAGAAACAAGACTCTTCTTTTTAGGCTAAAGGTCTTGTAGTTCCCATTGCTCTTTTACCCATATCCTAAAGCCCTCCAAATCTCTGACTTATTATTACCTAGAAGAACATCAATAAAAGATCCTATACTGGATAGGATATAAAAGAAAAAGACAAAGAACTGATAGACAAGGATCACAATATAGAGATACTGAAAGTAGTGAAGAAACAGGCATTGCATACTGAACTGATGAAGCTCTTGAAGAGTAACCAGCCTATGATATCAATATAGTAGTAGTAATGTGTTTCCAAGTTACTCATAACCACATCATTTCCCCTTCTCCTTCTGGTACCTTTTTTGTAATGCAAAATCCTTACCCCTATTTTAATTTGTATAGTCTTGGCTTTATTATTCTTTTCTAGATAGATACAGCAGAGCAGGGTATCAAACATAATAGCAAAACAGATCAGATGGTCTATGACAGACATATATTTGTTACACACTACTTCCCTCAAGAAATTTTTGTTACTCTAATGGTCCTTACCACTAGTCAAAAAAAAATTATTTGGCATACTGCCACTCATGTAACATTTGGCAAAAAATACTACCATTCATATAACATTCGGCAAAAAATAAACAATTTGGCAAAAAAAATGACATAAATAAATCAACAACTATAAAAATTGGTATATTAACAATTGTATTCATCAAAACTATTTATTAAAAATTCATCAAAGATTCGTCAACTATATTTGCAGCTATTTGTAAAAAATTCGTCAACTATTTATCAACTATTCGTCAACTATTCGTCAACTATTTATTAACTATTTGTCTACTATTTGTCAATCATTCATCAACTATTTGTCAACTATTTGTCAACTATTCATCAAAACTATTCATTAAAAATTCATTAATAATTCATTA